CACCAAAGAGCATGTTGTTCGGTGGACGGGAACCAACTTAGCTGCAGGATAGGCTCTGGCTAGTGACGTCCTCAGTCTTCTGTTGACCATTTCTTCAATGTCTTCACCTTTAAAGTCTAGTTGAATGAAGACAGGCTTTTTTTCGACTGTGATTTGTTTGGTATTTGGGCCTTCACATCTTCCATATTTGTTAATGAATTTTTGAGTATAGCCGTTGTTTTTCAGCACCTTTTCGAGATTCAAGAATTCTTCCTCTAGTTTCTCTGCAGAGCATATTCTCCTCGCTCTATAGTACAGAGTCTTGACTAGTGCTCGTTTATAGCTATTTGGACAAAAACTATTAAAATGTAAGTATCGTCCATTCCATATGGGCTTTCGGTAGTTTGACCTCTGGAGGCTACCATCTTCTAGGCGTTTTATGGCGACGTCAAGGAAATGGAACTGTCCATCATTTTCATGTTCCATAGTAAATACAATATTTGTATGTGCGTTGTTGAATAGTCTGAGTAGGTAGGAGGCATGACTTTCGTTGTTGCATACTAAAAATGTGTCATCGACATATCGACAATAGGAAGTTGTTTGATCAATTGCATGCTTCAGCTTTGTTTTCTCAAGGTTTGACATAAAGATATCTGCTAAAACAGGGCTAAGTGGACTGCCCATAGCTACACCATCTATTTGTCGGTAAAGAGTGTTGTCAAACTGGAATTGTACACCCATGGTACACATTAGCAGTAGGCGTTTGAATTCTGGCTCTGGTAGTGGGAGAAGATCAGACTGTTGACAAATGATTTCAATGGTTTCATTGATTGGGATCATTGTGAACAAGGAGGTTGCATCAAATGAAGCCATGAACTTATTTGAAACGTTCATGTGATTCACGCTATCAGCAAAATGAAATGAGTCCTTTATGGTGTGCGCGGCCAGCCTTTGGCGAATGGGTTCCCATTTCTCCGCGAGCCAACGGGCAACCTTATGTTGGGGAGAGTTGATCATCGAAAGTATAGGTCTCAGAGGGACTTCTTTAACCTCACCCTCTTTTATATTCTGTAATTTTGCTTGTCTCTTGTTTCTATGAATTGAGTTCAACTCAGTACATTGTTACCTAACTTATTAGTCACTATGCATCCAACGCACATCCCTTACCATTATATACATACATTTATTTATTATTTTTTTAACTTGAACTGCCTGTGTAAAAACTATATAAGCGCAATTTTCTGAGCACTGTTTACTAGTTGTGAAAATTTCTGTCAACATGTAAAATTTGCAAGTACGTTAAAACGTTTCTGTACTTAAACCTGAAAATTTATTTAGGCTGTAAGCAGCTGACGAGAAGCCAACGAAATAAATGATGGTACCATGTTATTCTGCACAAATCAATGTTGTTCTCGCTTTATTCAAATTTACCAAGGGGAATAAATGCATGAGATTTCCGATTAATAAAGGTGTACCGTTGCCTTTCTGATCTCGACTGGCATTGACAGCTTCATCTGTACCGCCTGTAGTGAAAGAAGTGACCACTCTCAAATTTTCTCCATTAATAGTGATTGGCGTTGATTGTTGCTGTTATTGTTGGTGGTGGTAGTCAGTGGGTACCTTCAGTCCAACACATGCCTGTCTTCTCACTTCCCACGAAAACCAAGAAATTGACAGGAGAGTCAGGCAGTGAAGATAAGACTCCTCATTGTGACATTAGAGAGGACAGAGGTGATAAAGACATATCCAGCTAACAAAAAGAAACTCAGCAAATACCAACCACTATCAGTAGGAGAAATGTAAAGAAACTCGTCTCTTCCACTTACCCTGGAAGCATCGTTTCATCTACAGACTGTAACAGCTTAGGATGTCAAAGCCACCCTAGGATGGGAAGGCGGTGAGTGTTAGCCTTTCGAGAGTGATATGGAGGAGATTATATGAAGTGAAGATGAAGGCGTCTGGGCATTCATGAAAAGAGAAAGAGAGATAAAAAAAAATACCTCAAATAAGAGAGTGAAATGGTGATGTGCGACTGAAGCCCAGTGTTCTTCTCAGAACCCAAATGTTGACTAATAATGATAATGTTAGTTTGCAGCGATCTGATTGGTTATAGGGTTTCTCATGAATTGATAACCAGTTAGAGAATCATTGGAAAGCCAGTATTGGAGTACTGGACAGTTGTTTCACCCTAGTTTAGGACTCCTCATCAGTACTCACCCATCGTTAGGGTTATAGCCCAGGATCTTCCAGTTACAAGGTGAGCTCGTTGACCATTTAGCCAGTGAGACCTGATCTAGCGGACAGCCTGTAATTCCAATTTCTACCAATATGTGTCTTAGGCGTGTAACTATTCTCTTAACACGTGGCACAATAAAAGTTGAAGTTTTATAACATGAAGAGTGTTATTAGATGAGAAGCAAGGTGGTTCGGTGTCCGTGTACTTCACAAGTGTGAACTTGATAAGAATGAACGCCTACTGGTAACATGTATAAACTAGAACACGTAAGAGTGATAGTACCATGAATTACTTACTAAAAATAGTAGCAAACGAATACCAAGGGATTAATTATTTAATTCATTTTGGATTTTTCCGTTAATTGATTAGACCAAAATGTTTGGTCTTAGATTGATGTGTCGACTCCTTGTACAGATGCTTCGACGATGTCTAGTTATTTAACTCGATGGTGACTAACAGTGGTATCCATGATAACGCGTATTTCATCCTATTCGGGACTCGTCAGGTAGATGTGCCTGCACTCCCCAGTCAATGAGTGATGGTATTCCTACTGAGGCTTGAACCCAGTACCCACAGTGTCAAACTGCAAACTATTATCCTCTAGGACATGTGAATTTAATAATTACTGGTACCTGTTGCAGAAGAAGGGGCTATCTGTCGTAGCCTAAGTGTGGTGTACTGAATAACGCTTTGGCGTTTTGAATTAAGAGGATCGGGTTTGATCCTCAGTGGGGTAACACCATCACTCATTGACTGGGGAATGCGGATACATTCAGATGATGAATCACAAATGAGACGAAGTGCGTGCGATCCTGGGTTCCGCTGCCAGTCACCATCCACCAATTTCTCATATTGAAAAAATACGAAAATACAATTTGTGCTACTTAATTTCAAAAGCAAGTAGTATAAACTGAAAACATTAAATAATAGGACATTTTCATTCTTTTTGTTTCAAAAATTGAAATCTCAGTTGTAGCGGTGTCGCTTTTTACGGAGTAGGGTCGGTGGTCTTATATTTTTTCGGGGATTATTACTGGATGAGTGAAGTTTGAGTATTGCATCTACTGGAAATGGAACAGGGATCACCTACATGGCTGAAGAGCGTTCTACCACCAAGCTCGTGTAACGGTGATAGTGGTGAATATGAGTCGTAATGTTGTTAGTGAGAAATATGAACTTTCTGTTGATTAACTCCTAACATCTGACTTCGTGAGAATGGGTTTGGTAGTTTCCAGCTTTATTCAATAAAGTATTCTTGTTGAATCCTTATAAGAATGTGGTGAACTACAAACGTGGCTAGCTCCGGTCAAGAATCGAAGACTCAATGGAGGGCTTTCAGATTTTGAATTGACCACCTCTAACTCTCTTTTTTTCAGTCCAAACCTATGTTAGCTAACACTACGGGATGAGGAATGCGATGGCTTGGCATCTTATTATTATTGTTCCCTTGGGTTGCTAGTGGAACATAGGGCTTCAACTGCACGTCTCCACTTGCTTCTATTTTCCTTCTGCTATACTTTTCACCTTCACCCATGTTAGTCCATACTGTTTCAACTCCTCCTCTTCACACGATCTCCTCCATGCCACCCTTGCACTGACGACCTACTTGCCGCTTCCCTTTCGGCCTGGTTCCACATGAGCAATGGCCTAACGCGCGCGCCATGTCACCCAGTGGCCTCCTCTGCGAGCGAGTGTCTAATCCATCCATCTCCACTTTCTCCTGCATATTTGTTGGTTGGCAATTGGTTCTTGTTTTGTTTGTTCCCAGTCAGAGTTTCTTGTTGGTGGTTCTTCCCGGCCATCTGACCTTCAGTATAGATCCAGCGAAGATATTTAGTTGTTGGTAAAGGTCTGGTCTGAAACAGGCTGTTGGAAATATTCTTTGTGACCCGCCCGCCAAGTTTCTGATCCGTATAAAAGAACTGACTAACTTGACGTTTGTTTGTATTGAAAATCTTACCGAGTTTTGTTGTTGATGCTGGCTGAGTGACGAAGATTTCCAGATTGATTTCAGGTTGATGAATGTGTTTCTCGCCTTCCCGGTTTGACATCCTCGTCCGTTCGGACTGGCTGTAGTTGAGACAATGCTCCCTAGATAATGAAGTGACCTCTTTCAAATCCCTCCCGTTGATGGTGATTGGCGATGGATGTTGGTGCTGTTGTTGTTGTTGGTTTGTTATTTTCACAACCTCTGTCTTGTCTATGTTCACTTGGAGTCCTGTCTTCACCAACTGCTTCTTCGACCAGTTTCCTTGTAAGTCTTCGATTTTGTGTGACATCAAACATAAGTCATCCACAGGCGAAATCCAGGTCTTCTAGGTTACTCACGTCGGTCCAGGATATCCCTGTCTTCTGGTTTCCCACCCACTGTCTGACGCATAATCCAGTCAGTCCACCACAATTAGGAATATCATTAGTGATAATAGGCACCCTTGTCTGACTCCTGACGCCGTAGTACTCGAGTAGTTTCCAAATTACTTCGCGGTCAACACTAACTGTCGAAGGTCTTCTCAAAGTCAACAATACTGAGCATATTATTGCCTCGTTAACACGGGAGATAAAACTCAAAGATGTATGGTTAAAGGCAGCTGGCCTTTTCATACCTTCAACTTTCAATGGCCGTTCCCCCACAGGTACATGTCATCAGGATTTCAACACACTTCATTGGTTGATGGGATGGTAAGCGGTGTGAAGCTGTGTAGTCCTAATTGTCTTGATTAATATCTCTTCAATCGAGTAGTCTTTCTATACTCTATTCATTCTTTTCCTTTACCCCTCTCTTCAGGTAAAGAAAAAATGGGAAAATCTTGTCTCTAAAACAAAACGTAAAGTCCGCGCTGGTCATATCACACCGGAACTGGATTGGAATGAAACAAATGCCGCCGTTATGCAATTTCTTACACAACATAGTCCACCTGTCCGTCTAAGATATTTATCATCAACTGGCCCGTCTTTGCTTAGTCTTGGAGATCTACAAGCATCATCCGCTTCGGTGTCGGCATCAGCGTCTTCTGTTTTGACAACATCAGGTGGTGCTACAGCTATGAATGGTGCCTTTAATCAAACTAATTCACATATTTATGGATTGTCAAATACCTCATTCTCAGATCCATATAGTAATAATAATAATGATAGTTCTATTTTCTCCAATAGTCACCATTCATCGATGATGCTGTCTTCTGAAAAATCGGCTATTCTTAATTCCTGTCTACGACAAGAAAATAAAAATAACAATAATAATAATAGTAGTAATAACAATACTACTAATGCTAATGCTGGCAGTAGTAATAATAGTACCACCAATGGGCAACATTCTTTTATCAGTCATGAAACAAATGATTTAAATTCATTCAACAATGTTGGATCATCAGGAGCCGGTGGAAGTGGTGATAAACAACATTTAAATACGTCGACAGAAGATAAAGATGTTGACATGACAACAGGAAATAATAATAACAACAGTAATACTAATAATATTAATAATAGCAGTCAAAATCATGGAGAGTAAGTTGAAGAAATTTCTAGATTATGATGCATCATTATTATTGATTTATTGGTTATTTCCTTTGTGATTTGAGTGGAACTTCGCGCTTCAAGCTAGAACAATTTCAAGTTTCGATAGTAGTAGACAAGGGTCAAGCAACAGATTGTTTATTAAGGAAATCAACGGATATTCATAGATTTTCATGTACATTATTATAGATTATTGTAAACAAACAAACACAGTCTTCTGATTAGTTATTTTCTTTCTGAACGTTAATCTTTCATCTCTGTGTGGTGGTTTCTTGAAGTTCAGATTATTTGTCTGCAAATTGTATCCACTTACGCAAGGTCTGTTGTGATTGGTTGTTGAGTTAGACCTTGTTCTTATTCTTCTCATGATCAATATTGGGGACGTAAATTACCGCCTGCTGATCTTGAGTATTGAGCGAAGACAACTGTTAATGAAGGTCTGAAGTTTGTTTGAGGTGCTCTTCACGACCTGGCGCCAAGTCTCTGATCCGTATAGTAGCACTGACTTCACATTGGAGTTGAAAATCCGGATCTTATTTTTTATGCTGATTGGTGTTGACCTCCACACAGACATGGTGAGAGTAATGAAAGCTTGTCTTCCTTTTCCGATTCTGGCTTTGATATCCTCGTCAATTCCGTCCGCCTGTAGTTGAAACGATGCTTCCCATGTGTGTAGGTAAAGGAGGCTGTTTCTTTCACGTTCCTCCCATTTATACTGGCTGATTGTTGTCTGTTGTTGTTTCTGTAGGTGTTGGCCAGGAATCTTCATCACCTCCGTTTTATTTATGTTCACCTGAAGGGAGTCCTATCTTTGATGCTTCTTCTGCCAGCTTGTTGCTTTTTACTTGCATATCTTCTAGTTTGTGGGAAATCAAACATATGTATCGCATCGGCGAAGTCCAGATCCTCCAAGTTGATTTTGTGTGATTCCATTTTATGCCTGTTTCCTCATTGCCCGTTGTCTGTCGCATTATCCAATCTACTGCAATCAGGAAGATCATTGGCGATAGTAGACAGCCTTGCCTCACTCCCGTCCTCACTTCGAAGGCTTCCGAAAGTTTCCCGTTGTGGATTACTTGGCATGCAGTATTGTCGTACAACTGTTGGATGAGATGTATAATTGTCGGAGACACCCCATAATAGCGAATTAGTTGCCAAATTACCTCTGTTCGACGCTGTCGAAGGCCTTTTCAAAATCGGTGAAGTTGAGGTAGAAAGGTGACTGCCATTCCAAGCTTTGTTCAATGATGATCCGTACAGTGGTGATTTGATCAATACATGACTTGTTTCTCCTGAATCCAGCTTGTTCCAGTCGAAGTTTTGCATCCAGGTTGGCTTGTTTGATTCTCTCCAGGATGATGCGGCTTAGTATTTTGCTTGGGATGGACAGGAGCATAATTCCGCGCCAGTTTTTGCATTGACTTAAGTCTCCTTTCTTTGGTAGTTTGAATAAGTATCCTTTCTTCCAATCCTCGGGTACTTTGCCCTCCTTCCACACCTTCTCCAGTAGTGGCGTCATCAAGTCCGCTGTTGTCTCTGGGTCCATTTTCAATGCTTCTGCTGAAATTCCATCTGGTCCTGCCGCTTTTCCAGCTTTTAGCATCTTGGTTGCATTCAGGACCTCTGATTTCGTCGGGGGTTCGATGTTCACTGGTAGTTCTGCTTCCGTCGTTGGTATTGTTGGGCGCTTTGTAAGTGGCAGTCGATTTTGAAGTCTTTTGAAGTGTTCAGCCCAGTGTTTTCTTTGCTCCACCTCTTTGGTGATTGACTTTCCATTGTCATCCTTCACTGGCTTAATTTGTGTCGAACTTTTGCCCGATAGGTGTTAGTTCTTTGGTAGAGTGTTTCGAGGTCTCCTTTGCCTGCAGCTTGTTGTGCTTTTCTTTCCATGGCTTCATAATATTTTCTTTTGTCTTCCCTGGCACTCTTCTTCACTCTTTGGTTGAGCGTATTGTAGCTTGCATTCAAATCCTGTTTTTATTGCTCGTCAGTGCACTGGATAATATTTTGTTTCACCATCCTTCTCTCTCCTATTAGTTTCCAAGTGTCCGTAGTGAGCCACTGTTTTTCCTGTCTCTTCTTCCTGCCTAGAACTTCCACGCAGGTTTGACTCCACACAGTTTTCAAGTTGTCCCAGTGCTTTTCGACGCTGACCGTTTCGCTGGTGTTGATTTGTGTCTCGCCTTTGTCCCTTATGCTTGCAGTGAAGATGTCCTTTGTATCTTGGTCCTTCAGTTTTTGAGTGTTGAACTTGGCTTGTGGTCTATCTGCAGCTCCTGTTTTCCTGAAAGCTTTTAATTTGATTTGGATTGTCCCTTGTACGAGATAGTGGTCTGAGCCAACGTCTACTCCCCTTCTTACTTTTGTGTCCAGTCGGCTGCGCCTCCACTTCCTTGAGCAGCATTGAGATGAAGTCAATTTGGTTTTTGGTTTGCCCATCTGGTGACACCCATGTAACCTTGTGGATATCTTTGTGTTTGTATACGTTGCCACCAATCACTAGTTCGTTGAAGGCGAAGAAGTTGGCGAAGAGTTCTCCATTTTCATTCATCTCTCCGAGAGCTTCTCTACCCATGATGAGTTCCCTTCCTGTGTTATCTGGTCCCAGTTTGGCGTTCATGTCTCCCATTAGTATTTTAATGTCGTCAGCTGGAGTATTGTCCATTGTTGCCTGTAGTTGTCTGTAGAATTCTTTTTTGCTTTTCGAGGTCTGCGTTGTTTGTGAGTGCATAACATTGTGTAATTGACACTTTCCTTCCTTTGGAGTTGAATCTGGCGGTCATTATCCTGGACGAGATCGCCTCCCATTGCATCAGGGCCTTTGTTGTCGTTGGTGACATCATGATAGCCACGCCATCGGTGCACGTGTGGTTATCTTCTGGGTGACCGTAGTAGATCACTGACTCACCCGTTGACAATTTGGTGAGTCCATTTCCGTTCCACCTGCTTTCACACATTCCCAGTACTTGGATTCCATGTCTTTTCAGCTCGTTTGCGATCTGGGCAGCTTTGCCAATCTCGTGGATGGTGCGGACGTTCCATATCCCCACACAGACTTTTTCTTTTGGTGCAAAGAGATTTATCGTGCTGAAGTTTCTGTAGCAACTTTGTTTACAGGTTGGGGTTTGCTAGCCTCACGCCTGAGAAAGGAATTGTTGTTGCTCCCCTTAAAATCGGAAAACAAGGAATACAAGGAATAAAACAACCAGAACAACACCAGCAAAAGGAAAATAATTCACAGCAAAAAGGGTAAAAAGCGGCAACAACAACAGAATACAACAACATACAATACAGTTAAGCACAGTTAACTAAAGTGATATCAAAACCATAGACTCACTGACTTGGGCCAACTTGAACATATAAATCCAATAATATATACAATTATAGATATAAGTTAGTGTTAAAAATTCACAAAATGCAAACAGTTAGTTATAGGTATTATCTGTCATTAAGATTATATCCACAGATCCAGTGTTCGAAAGGTAAATAATTGTAATAATTTCCACAAACTCTTAGCATGAAATTCTATAGAAACAAGAGTTTAATGAAAGTAGGTAAATGTAGCGTAGTAATAATCATAGTTTAATGTCAAGTGGCAAAATAATTAATGTCATATACAGAATAATACGTAAAGTGTATAGATGTTGGAAAGGGGTACATAATTATAAGATTAGTAGACGAATATAAAATGTTACATAGCATGGTGTGAAATTTCATAAGATAGAATTCAATATTGTAAAAATAAGAAATATAAAAATGAATAATTTTGGGTTTAAAATGACAAGTGGGTCAAGTGGAAAAGATTCAGAGTGAGAGTAGTAATAATAATAATAATCATAATCGAAGTAATAAGGGAAAAGTACATAGAATAACTAAATAAACAAAATAAATAAATGTTTATCGTTCTACAGCCAATGCAGAAGTAGGGATTGTACATACTTCTCTTGTACACAAAGGTCTGGCTGGCTTAAAGTCATGAATGAATAGCCAAGGCCTCAGCTGTCTTTAGAAGTCTGTTACGAAGAAAATGCGGCCGGCAAGTTAGCATGGATTCTATATATGATCTTGAAATTATGGTCAGGGTTGATTGACTGAGTGACAGAAGTCGATCAGGTGTTCTAGAATAGAGCTTCGCACACACACTTCCTTTCTCCCTTGTAAAACCATACTGCTGGAATATGTTCTCATATCCGTGTGGTGGAAAGTGGCGTCCTCTGACTACGGCCAATGTACCTTGCTCCACAACAGCAGATGAACTGGTAGATGTACATGGAGGCGGCCAGACGGGGAAGCTTATCTTTTAGAGAGGTAGAGAACAATCTGCGACTCGTGAATGTCATACGCATATATAATAATAATAATAACAGCTTTATTCCAAACGGTATTTGTGGTACAGGTATGGAATTTTCACCGTGCATTACAGTATATTGCATCTAATTACCTCATAAATTATATAAAATTTTTAAAATCAAAAAATAAATAAATAAAAACCAACGCCAAAAAATAAAAGATGAATAAAAATAAAAAAAACAAACAGCGTAGAGTTTACATTTCAAACAATACACCACAGGATATGAAATATAAAGGTGATGTGTGATAGAAGATGAGAACAACAGTGTAATAGTAACGAGGAAAGGAAGACAAAAACTAATGGGAACTATTCGTTAGAGTGTCGCAGTAGGTTGATCGTCTCATACCTAACGGATTTCTCATCACCACATAACAGCTGTGCCAGACATGGTATTGTGGAGTTTTTGTATTTGGTAGTCCTAGCATATAGACTCCTATAGCTGCTTCTAGTTCTACCAGATGAAGAAATGCAAGGAGACAGCTGCGTATATAGAGGATGTTCGGGGTCTGTCTGACAATATTGTATTCGCTAGTTTCTTACATGACATTATATGTTTATCCACAATAGTGTTAACCAGTTGGTTTAACGATATCCCACTTGCCCTACTAACGACTTTTAGTGCCCTTCTCAGCAAAGCAAAGTCTTTCTTAAGTAGTCCAGGAAAGAATAATGGGGAGCAGTAAAGAGGGATGAGTAGAATACAAGAATTGACAAACTGAGAAAGCAAAGACTGCTTTATGCCAGACTGCCTAAATTTCCTAATGTAGAACTTTAAGCGAAACATCTTTCTAGTAACTAGCAAGATGTGGTAGGACCAGGAAAGATCGGTGGAAATACTCAGTCCAAGGTGTATTTGACATTAGATGTATTTTCAGCCTCTATGCCGTCAAAGATAGTGGGACCATGTGAGCTAGCTAGTTGTTGTAGGTCACATTTTCGTCTGAAAGTGAAACTGACTACCTGACATTTATAGACGGATTCATCTGAAGACCGTTTGAAGAGAGGACCACTGACTAGATTTCCGAAGTCCAGATTGTCCAAGTTTTTTTTATGTGGGTCCATTTTATGCCTTTTTACCTCGCTGCCTCCGCTGTCAGTCAGTTAAATTGCTTTATTGTAATATTCTACAAAAACTTACTTACATGCCTTCCTTTTTTTGTATGCGTGTTTCTTTCTCTCCTCAAAATGTGCATAGTTCATCAGAAGTAGTTGGTAATATCGCTGGATCAGTACATGAATCATTTCTCTCCTCATTTTCACCATTCAATCAATCATTTCTTAATTTTGGTCTACCTCCATCAAATCATCATGATTCCCTCTATACAACATTTAATCATGACATTCAAAAAGAATTATATTCACAATTGAAACAAGAACATGAATTACGCATGGATATATTACGTTTACAAAAACAAACTTGGGTATTACAAATGAATTTATTTAAAAAAATGAAAGTTGAACAAATCTCCAGTCTGTTTTCATCACCACACCTTTCTTTGCCTACAACAACGGCGACAGCAGTAACTTTTACTCCTCCTAGCAATGCTACTACTAATAGTGTTGTCAGTAGTAACAACAACAACAGCACTGCCTGTAGTATTACTCCTGTCGCTGGTAGTAATACTTCTGTCTCTGCTACACTATCGTCTTCATTAACTGTACCATCATCATCGTCAAATGAAGTCAATCATTCGTTGATGAATACTTCAACAAATCCATCAACGACTTCTGCTGTCACTGCTAGTCTGACAACTACTCCTACCGCTACTCCTACTACTAACGCTACTACCGCCGCTGCTTCAATTACCAAGCCTAATTCATCGATTCAACAATTAACTGTCAATCATCAGAGTGAGTCGAATTCTACTCCAGAGACTCGGCCGTTATCACCAATGTTTCCAGGGGTTGCGAACAGTCATCCTCCTCCTCCTCCTCCTCCTCATCATCATCATCAGAATGTTGTATTGACAAATGTTGAGAAAATGGAGGGTTAATCGATAGAGTACATCCCAATTATATATATACATGTTTGTGTGTGTGTGGGGGGGTGCGTGCGTGCGTGCATCGAGGATGGTATAATCTGATCACAATGTGTGAATGTGACACACACTCACACCCATCTAACAAGCAAACACTGACATGAATTGTGTTATGTGTGTGGTTTTGCCGATAATTTTGTTAATACATTGAAGGAAGATCTGTTGTACAATACAGTATTTATTATTATTATTATTACTATATTTAATAAACAATTTATAAAAACCAGTCGTTGTTATTAGACGCTTTTGAGGTGTGCGTCGGTGGTGGTTAGGACTTTCGCCGACCATGCACATGGTCCGGGGTTCGAGCCCACGCCGGCGCACACCTCATATCTATGGTCGGCCTGCAAAATTTGGGCTACCGATATCCATGCTGAAAATTCCATATTTGTACCAAAAATACAGTGTGGAATCAAGCTGTAAATCAAAAAAATAAATAAATAAAAGAAAATCAGTCACAGGAAGCCTATCTAGTCTTGGACCTAATATTTCGTCCTTGTTATTACTCGTCAGTAGGGCGTATCTAAAGCTAGTTACATTTGAAAGAACTTATGTCTCTTCACCACCGAAGGAAGAAACTAGGTGCATGACGTTAGCTACTATCGAGTATTGAGGAAGCCGCTGGGTGACATCGCACGAGCGTCAGGCCATTGCTCGAGTGGAACCAGGCCGAAAGGGAAGGACGTGTCGAGTGGGACGTCAGTGCAAGGGTGACGTGGAGGAGATCGTGTAAAGAGGAGGAGTTGAAACAGTATGGACTAACATGGATGGGTGCAGGCGAAAAGTACAGCAGAAGGAAGACAGAAGTGGCAAGTGGAGACGTGCAGTTGAAGCCCTATGTTCCACTAGGAACCCAAAGGGAACAACAATAATAATATACAGGAGAACAATCACGAGCTCGAATAGCTTCCAGTAGTAGAGTCTATGAGACTGCTGGTGACACTGAGTGTCACGGGTCCGAATCTCAGAAGGGATATGAATTCCTTCAGGGTAGTCGCAGATACGCCTTGCTGACTGATGAAGACCCAACAATTCAATAATAATAATAATAATAATAGTACTTTGCTTTATTCCAAAACAGTACTTGTAATACAGAATGGAATTCTCAGCATTTCACTACATACAGTATTGCATCCAGTTAGTACATTAACAATAAATAAAATTCTACATAGATTAAAGGTAATCCCAGTTAGTTTTGACAACAACATATTGGCGTGTCGGTAGCAAAGCCAAAAGTGAACAGAATGTTTGAAGTTGTTAGAAAAGTACATGCTAGCATATTTACTGGCGTAAGCGGTAACAAAATGGTCGAGATATACAGAGTGTAAAAGAACAAAGAAGAATGTTTTAAGTAGAGTTTGTAAGGAAGAGAGAAACAAAACAGCACATAACAAAAAAAAGAAAAGGGGAGAGAGAAAAGGAAAAGAAAGAAAACGTTGTACCTATAAATGATATGAAGTGGAAAGACGAGATCCAGTTGTTCTATTGACTATCTAACAAGTTATAATTTCCACGCCTAATGCTTTCTTTATCGCAAAAAACACGAGCTGAGTAGGATATGATTGAGTTTTTGTACTTGCTAGTGTAAGCATATAATTTTCTGTATAGGCTTCTGGTCTGGTCTGGCCTGATGAGATACAAGGGGAGAATTGTGAATGAAGAGGGTGGTGTGAGTTAGATAGATAGAATGGATTTAGCCCATTCAGAGTACACCGTGATGGTGAACCCACCTAGTGGCATGGTGGCCACAATGTAAACTTGTCTGACAGAATTCAGCCTACACCAACCAATCAATACCAAGGACTAGCTAGACTCATGAAAATTTGGTGCCACAGTGGTAGAGTGCTCGCTGACCACGCCTCATGTGGCCCGGGATTCGATTCCCAGCCGCGGACGCACTCCGCCTTTACCTCGCTCGCTAAGCCAGTAACAACACTGGGGTAAAGAGGGAAGGCTAGCCACCTTATGCTGTATAAATAAACACCACTACTACAGAAACTTCAAGTCACTAGCTTGAAGTGACCCTATGTTCCACTGGGAACGTGAAGAAATAAAAGAAGGACGCATGAAACTGGTTACTAAATACCTAGTGTCCAATCAAAATAAAGCCGACCAATCAATATTTACTGATAACTCAGTGTTCTGGAGCATATATTACGTAATGTGGGGTGCAATCTAGAAGGGGATAACTAAGTGAAGATGAAAGCTGGAGTTACGTAATAAGCGTGAGAAAATGACTAATCAATACAAGAATGTACAATAGCTAATGGAAAGACTGTGAGGTGTTTATAATAAAAACTTGTAAAAAGAAATGTAATGGTTATTAATAAACAATACCAGTGATTCTAAAATAAAGGATAGTTATGATACACTTAAACAATGAAATGAAACCAAATTCTGTCAAGAATGTTTCTCTGGCTACGACAAGGCGAGTGAATTTAGGTTAAACACAAATGTAGTAATTTATTGTAATCGTAGTATTAGTATTTCAAGATGACCGAATTACAAGAATCCAAACAAAACAAAGAAAAGGGCGAATTCAGGAATTTGTATTTAGCGGAATTATTATTTCAATTCATATATGAAATATATTAACAGTCAACAGTAAGTATTTAAACAATACAGAGATAGAAATTGTCAATCACCACATCCGTCACACGTTGAATGTCTCCTTGCGTATTTATAACGATGTCTCGGTTTGCTTGCAAGTAGCTGCGACCTTCTATCTGATTCTGTGATATTATTTTCATCAGTATTATCTGGACTTATTTCTGAATTATCTACAAAATCAGGATTATTAGCGGAATCAATAATATTATAATTGGAACGACCTACTTCATTTATTGTCACTTTGTCCAGGTGTCTGTTATGAACTGAGTGATCTTTGATGTCTAATATCTTCACCACTCGATTTCCCATTTATTGTTGAGTGATTCCAGCAGAAGGTCTATAGTCTTTCCCTTTGTAATAATGTACATTAGAAGTCGTGGACATCAGATGCTTTTTGAGAATTCGAGATTTGAATAGTTTTGCAGGACTTTCACGGGTACTTGTATGCTCTGCATTCAACAAACTCAGTCTATGCATATGCATCAATTCCTCCATTTTAATCAGTTGCTCTCTCATCTCATTCAGGTCTTTTCGTGTTTTCGACAGTTCACATTGTAACTCAGCTACCTCATTTTTGAAAACAGTTGACACTTGAGTTGCCGAACTTTTAGTGGAAGTTTTCATTGGATTAGATTGAGTATTTTGAACAGTTGAAAGACACATTGACTCCATTTTACTAGACAGATTGGGAGAATTATAAGAATGTTGAGCAGCATAAGTATTCGAACTTCTGCAAACCGTCTTGATGTGTCCAACTTCACCACATTTGTGACACTTAGCACCCCGAAAACGCAAAGTGCTTCGTAGATGTAACTTTCCACAGGATAAACACGGTTTAATGTTTCTGATCTCTCGCTGCATTCTATTACCTGTGGACGGCAGTTTGGATTGCTTTCCATGAACACTTGTATTTTCGACTTTGGACAGCATGACATCAGATACTGACGTAGTGGGAGCAGAGTATTCATTATTGACATCTTCATATGTAATACACAAATCTTTAGCAGTTTGAAAGGTACAAGAAGGAATCTGAATTAACTCTTTCTCTAACTTAGGAATATTGATTCCAGCCAGCAATTAGACGATCACGTAGTTGAGTATACAGCTGATCTCCAAAGTTACACTTTGAAGCTTGAATTTGAAGTTGAAGAATGAACTCCCGAATCTTCTGGTTGGGAGCACGAACCAGTTTGTTGAAGTGAGCCCTCTCTCTGGTCTCAAATGTAGTTACATGAAAGTGATTTATAAGAAGTTCACGTAGTTTATAATATGGCAGAGAAATTGGTTTTTCTGGAAATGACAGAGTCTTTACTAGGCTATACGCATCTAGCCGAATAGCAGTGATGAAATGTGCTGGTATTTTGTCATCCCGAACATTCTTTGAAATGCACCACGCATCGAAGCATTCCAAATAATCAGCATTTATAGGAAGTTTTCCCAGGTTATTTAGTTCCATCGCGACGCCAATTTGTAGTAATTTATTGTAATAGGAATATTAGTATTTCAAGATGACCGAATTAAACGAATCCAAACAAAACACAGAGAGGGCGGAATTCAGGAATTCGTATTTAGCGGAATTATTATGCAATTCGTATATGAAACATATTAACAGTCAACAGTAAGTATTTAAACAATACAGAGATAGAAATTGTCAATCACCACAACAAAATAATTGAGCAAAGAATATCCCCTTTTCGATAAATTCCTCTTCCGGCTCTACAATTATATATATGTTTACATACATAGAATATTCTAGATTAGTAGTCAATCACAATATTAGTGTCTTTTAAATAATATCGATTTGTAAAGTATGATCACAATGGAATTACAGTTCATTAAAGATGCTTAAGTTATAATAATAATAATAAAGGTAAAGGAGCAAATAGAATACCAACTAAAATTAGGGAAATTTCCACAAAAATTCAGGATTGTTCAAACCTGGATGGCCAAGGTAAGGATAACGTCTGAACTAACTTCTTTTGGACGCATAAATTAGGCTCAGCCATAGAAGTGGTCATGTGCGGAATCTTGTCCTTTGGGTTTCTGCAGATCAGCGGGCGACTGGAGTATATATCAGTTCACCTGTTGCTGTGGAGCCAGGTACATCGGTCGTTCAAAGCGCATCCTGTCAAAAAGGGTCAAAGAACACTATCCAGAGTGGCTACAGAAAGGAAATAATGGCCATATAAGGAGTGCAATAATCGAACATCTCGTCGAAACTGGTCATTCTATCTCAACGAACGCCTCTTCGTTCAAAGTAATCTACAAAGTGAAGAACAACCTTCCAAAGACAGTACGATTCCGTCTTCTTTGCATTGCAGAAGCCCTAGCCATCCAGTTGGTGGAACCAGAACTATGCATACAAAAGAAAATTATTCAACCACTTCTACTGGCATGGTAACAACTCCGTTGATTTGACCTAACTTTTCTTTGTTTGTTTGATCTGACCTTACTTCTGTTTGTACGCTTATTTTTCTAACTTAAAACCCTTGTGTAATTCTGTATATTATTTTGTTTCCATTTACACCCTGAGCACAACTCATTCATCAAAATATTCATGCCATTACGTAACTCTTATTTAACAATCAATTATGACAACTCATCACTTTTGTTGCC